GAGCGGTTGTAACTACCGGTGAAAAATGAATTGGAATGAAATTGAAATTGAATGCAGTCACCCTCTAACTTGATGGATGGAGAAATTAAACTTCGAAGAAGAAGTTAAGAAGAAGCTCCGCCCCTTAACTCTAAACCCCGCCCACTTAATCAACAATTCATTTAGAAAAATAGCTATTCATCAAAATCGCTATTTTTCTAGATGAATTGATTATTGAGTGGGCGGGGTTTGGAGTTAAGGGGCGGAGCTCCTTCTTAACTTCTTCTTCGAAGTTTAATTTATCCATCCATCAAGTGAGAGGGTGACTGCATTCAATTTCAATTTCATTCCAATTCATTTTTCACCGGTAGTTTCAACCGCTCTTATTTATGGAATTTCAGGGTAAATAGGATGGTCCTGTGCTACTTGGAAACTTGGGTGATAATAGTTGCTTGATATCCTCACTATTCTGTGAATTGGATAGTTCTTTAAAGATGCCTGAACATTTTTCGACGAACCACAATGTCTGTTATTATCAACCTCTGAGGCGCGCAAAGTGGCACTCATAAATAAACAAATAAATAAATTGTTACATAACAAGAGACTGAATTCATATAAGCTTTCGCGTTCCCGGAATGGAGGACATCTGACCTAATTTTTTTGTAAAAAAAAGTTATGAAATTCTAACGTTGAAATCAATCTTCAAAAAGTTACAATGTCGCTTCATTCTATAAATTACCTTGAATTAACAGTTTAGGACCGATTTTCTGAACTTGTAGCTCACTCGACCACTCAACTAGCCATCTAGCCCAATTTCAGAGATGGCTTATTGACTAAACTTGCCTTCATGTGCATCATCTTCGCAACACCTTAGCCGGACGTACTTCTGATTGAATATGTACAGTTCTTACACACAAGTGCTTTCAATTGAGTAGATCATCTAACAGGACCAAATTTTTTAGTACCTAATGAGTGACCAATTGCGCCTTACTTTAGCGAATAATTCTATACGGTTAAAGTATTTTAGTCTCATCATTCCTTTCTTAAACATTACTGTATATCAGTTAATTTACTCAGAATAGTCTATGATTAATCACGAAATGGTCGAAGTAATCCCTTCTTGTAGTCCTTTGCTGAACCCCTCTATACCGGAATTAAGAAACCTATGAGTAACTTTTCACTAACTCGCCTTAATCAAAGCCTGCCAAGCCGAGAGGATTCCTGCGATTCACACTATCACTTTTTCAGTTACTAGAGAGAGACTTAGAGGGCAGAAAATCAAAGGCTATTAAGCCACCCTGGCAGGAGTTTTTGTGGACAACACAAGTCCTTAGGTGCCTCACGTTACATTATGAGTTTTGAGGACCAGAGATCGGGTCAGAGTGCTTGTGTGTCCCCTCTATCAGGGTGGAAACTAACAACCAAAGTTGCCCAGAGTCGGGTTCATGCCGATGGCAGAGCATCGTCCTCAATATCGAGTTTTAGAGAATTGAAAGTATTTCAAATATTAGCACTTGCTTCGGCGCACCGTTGGGAATCAGCTATGTAGGCGTCCTTCTTGTCTATTTTGAGGTTCTACTAGGACATCCACAAAGCCTCCAAAGCCTTACGCAGTGAGATTCCATCTTCATTTTCACGGAATTGCACTCTGTAATCACTTGAAGAGGTAGCTTCTTTACACTGCAGCTGCTCCTTACTCCGATTTGAAACGATGGAAACAGTCGTTCTCCTTTCTGATAGGAAAGATCAAACAGTAGGGCGTTTGCCTCGGGGGTCGTAGAAACCAAT